AGTAATAATAAATATAATAAAGCAGTGCATGTAAATTAAGCACATACATAACAATTTATACGGATATGTTTCCAGGTTTATTTGTTACATGTTAAAAGAAAATTATATTCGAATGATCTTCTGTTCACTTTTCACGAATGTTTGAAAAATTTGATAATAAAATTGTTCATTTGTGATGTGAGATATTTGCATTTGTCACAATTATACAACCAACAAAGACCATATAATAATATTATAAACACTACGTCATTTATTTGCAATCGTTATAAATAAATATTTTATCATAATGATACGAGGTATAATTAAAAATTTGTTTCGAATGTAAATTAAACTTTATTTTTTTAAAATAAAATTCAAATATCCAATAATATTTTAATTTTGCGAGAATACTATGCAAGATATAGTTTCATTAATCAAAATGACTAAAAATACATATCAAGATTCGTCCAAATGAAAAACTAAATATTTCTGACTATTATACATAAAAAAGATTTAATAACGCAGTTGTTCACGTAAGTTTATTTAGAAAGATATGTTGAAAAGATGTGTAATATTTTGTAAAAATATTCATAACATAAATTACACAATTCATTATCTGGAAACATATTAAAAATATGATGGAAATATATTACAATGACAAATTAATGAAGTCTGTATCTGATCAATAATGTTTGATACAAAAGATACAAAACTTGAGAGCTGATTGGAAAACTTACTATTTTATATATTATGTTAAACAATCGAAAAAAACTTTGTATATTACAAAATTGAGATAAGTATAGAAAAATTATCATAATTTTAACAAAGATTTTATAATTGTATCTCTTAAATTATTTCAAGATTTTACTTTCATAATTCCTATTATTAAATACTGGGCGGTTTATATTACTTATATTACCAAGAGACAGACAATCTCACAGCACTAACGAACATTTATTATATAAAATGAAAATTGTTCAGTCCCAATTGATAATTTGTTTTTTCTTCTTTCTATTTTAATATAACTTAAATAGACAAAAATATCTTATTTACCTACATTTGGAAAATAAATCGCATTTGATACATACATGTGATATAGTATATGCATCTTTTTCTTTATAAAACACAAACGTACTAAAAATTTTTTGTCCATTTAGATCTTGAATGTATAACTGAATTTCTGTCTTGTTATCCTAAAGAATCACACAGTTACACATAAACTTAGTCCTGTATTGTATGCTTCTATGATAAAAGCACCATTTAAAACACGTAGAGAGTTAGTTACTTTTCGTTTGCAGTTGTACAATAGTTTGTAGATCAAGAATCGTCTTTTCCAACATCTCAAACCAAGAAACATTAGTCAATGAACATCGCAACTGGTTCGTACAATTGTTGGTTGTTATGGTGTTAATTAAACCTGGGGATATCGTACTGATGTTTGTAGGAATATTTTCTGTTTGAACATTATTCCTTGATATGGTTTTATCACCTCCAGAATCAGAGGAAGTCATATCATTTACTTCTACTTTGTCTTTTTCTTCGATGTTTATGTTAGAAACGTTTTTCTGCTTATTAAGTTCTTTGATTGGTAGATGCAATTCTTTGTCAGTGGTTTCACTGTTTTCGTTCACCATAAACTTACGCTTTTTCGTAGGAGCTTCTACTTCCTGTTGGTTAGATTCTTTCACTTTAATGGCTCTAGTTCGAGACAACAGCGTTTCTAATGCCGGTAACAAGCTACTTGGTGGTTTCAGTCTTGTACTGCTATTGTAGACAAGAGCCAAGGCTCTTAAGTCACCTGTTAATCTATGAGCAGATGCCTGAATATCTACTGCTTCCACCATTGCCACCATAGAACTAACTAAATTGTCAATAAGTAAGCAAGTTTGTTCGGTTAGTACATGATTAGCAAGTTTTGGGAAAAAAGTCTTGAGAAAAGCATGAATTGCCGGTATTCCTAAAGACGATCTTTCATCTAGTAGTACAGCATCTACATAATCCACTGTGTAGGAAGAACAAAGAAGAGATGCAATATGTTTCCTGTCTATGTGTGTAGCAGCATGAACATCTAACCACAATCTAGGAAATAAGGCTAAGTGCAATGGAACACCTGTAATCAAACAAGATTGTTATTAATTATATCGACTTTATAAATTTTGACAATAAATGATACTCACCTTCAAATCCTAACATAGCACTCAGACTAACCAATGTCTCTGTCATGCAGTCATTATTTATTGCTAATCTGCACATAACATCGATAAGTTCATGATATGGTAAATAAAATTCAAGTAAAGCGTTATCATATTCTGGATCTACTCCTTTTGATGCCTCCAACTGAGAATGTGGTACAGCCATCTGCACCATTGGTCTGGCAGGTCGAGTAGGCATTTTCCCTGGAGGAGTAGACCTTCTTGGGAGATATGGGCCAGGTGGAACAGCAGCATGAGATTCTTGAAGAGCTGCATGGCAGTGTGATAGCAATGGTGCTAAAATTGAGATCGCTTCAGCAGGAACAAGCATCACAAGTTCTTTTAAAAGATCTATAGCAAGATTCCTCATATCTGGAGGATTATATGTATTTAACAATGTTGCTAATTTTCGCAAAATATCTGGCCATTCTTTACAATTCGCTAATATATTTCTTGCATCAGGTCCGTCTCTAGCGGTTCTAGTACATCGTACAAGTTCGACAATAATAGCTATTAGTTCAGCTAAGTCACCAGCAACGTGACATGCTGTTGCTTCGTGATACATAACATGCAACATATGAAATGCTTCCAGAATCATACTTAAACCTCCATTATATACAACATAAAGCCGATCATCGTCTGATTCGATCAAGATGCTGCAAGATATTGGTTTTTCAATTTATTTTTCAAACTCAAGAATAAAAAGAAGTATTATTTCAAATATTATACCGAAATGCAGAAATAAGTGTAGCCCAACATGATCGTCCATCTAATCCTTGTAAGTAAGAAGATAAGGTTCCTCTTCTAAAAGATGCAATTTCTGCTTCTTCTTGTTCTGTTTGTTCAGAATGTCTTGCAACTAACAGTTGCATTAATTTAAACAGTTCGTCGACAGCCTATAAAGAAAGAGATATATTCTACGTTTTAGATATAAGTGTTATAAGTAAAAGTAGATTTTAAATCAATAAAAATTTTACAGTTGAATATTGAGTAGGATGAGGTGTTATGTTTTTGAATGCCCACTGAATATTTTGATGTGCAGCTAGTTGTCTTGTAAAAGTGCGTGATTGTTGACAGCATAATCGTAATAAACCATAGTAAGCAGGCAACATTACTCTATTAAATAATACCACATCCTGGTCCTCATGATCAGCACTAAAAAATATATAAAATTTCAAACATTTGTCACATGTACCTGCGATTACAAAAAAAGAATTATACGTACAGTATATAATTAAATGCAATATTTTTAGTTATATGAGGATTGTGAAGTATAAGAGCGACATTTTCTGGACAATCAGAACAAACATGATACCAAAATAATAATACAGCTTGTTTATTATGATGTACTGGAATGCTAGGCTCAGATAGTTTTGGATGGAAAAGTGTCCACAAGTCATTCAAATATTGTCCAAACTGAAAATAAATATTATATAATAAAATAATTATAACAAAAGAACTAATATTATGCAATACTTACCATTAATTTTTCTGTCTTAGAAATGACACAATAAGTAAGTAATGCAAAATAGGCAGTGAGTTTCATTGTACCATGAGTCTGTATATCAATATAATGTCTCGCAGGTTGTAATAATCGTAGAAGTGCCGTATATATTTTGTGTAAAACTAAAATAGCTTCTGGAGATAATTGTAGTTCCCTAGATGTATTGCATCCTAAACCTAATCTATGAGCACTGCGATAACCTTGTCTGAAATGAGTCGACGGTACTAATGATACAAGAAGAAAAGCAGCAGCAGAGCGAACTCTTTGATTTGAATGTTCTAATAAGAAATGTTGTAACCACGTGTCTAATCCTTGTAATACCCAAGCATGTGCAAGTTTACTTCTTGTAACGGCTAAAGCTAACCATTCTAATGCTCCGTGTGGAGCAACTCTTGCAGCTTCCCAGACTCTGCCTAAAATTAATTGCGTCATACAAGGCAACCCACTTAATCCTGAACTCTCGGTTAACAGTGTTAAAAGTTTGAAAAATGGTTGGCAGACATCTGTATGTTTTGTTATAGCTTGAAATATCATTGTCACAATATGTATTGCTAGCCGGTCATTCCAGCGACATAAAGACTGTATCAAGTTTCGCGTCTGGTTGAGATTGATGACATCTCGCGTTTGTTGATACAAAAAAGGAAATCCTTTACCTCCTGCTACAGCGCTAAGATCTGCTGGAGACAATGCTAACCTGAAATATGAAAATATAACATGTAAACATATAATAAAATTTTCATATTATTTTTAAATAAAAATAATAAATTCAACTACCTGTGATCAGGTCCTCTACTACGTTCAACCAAAGTTGCTATTAAAGTGATCATTTTATCCAAAGAAGCAGGTCTTAATTTTTCTGTTGGCATAGCAACAACTTCTTCTTCCTCTTCTTCTTCACTGACTGCATCAACGAATTCATGTGTCTTATGTCCAAGATAAAAATTGATCATAGTTGATATAGCTTGTACTCTTATTAGAAACAGCGTTTCTTCTTCACCCATTTTACTAAATTCATATAAAAAACTGAAATATTCAGTAAGATGTTTCAAATGTTGTTTCGCATGTTCCATAAGAGACAAAAGCATTCTCACAAATCTTGTCACGCATGATCGCGTACCGACAGTATTTATATCATTTTCTTCATCACAAAGAAGGTATAAAGGTGCTTGAGTAGCGCGCAAACGTTGTATCACATGAATACATAGCCTTTGGAACATTTGTCTTACCATTTGATTAGGGCACTTGACTAGAATTTGGATTGGCCACCATGAATCTCCAGCCATTTTTTCAAGAAATCTGGCGCATGCACCAGCTGATCCGTTAAACTGTTTTGTCAGCAATTCTACCCATTGTACCATTGTTGGTTTTTCCTTGGCGTGAATGAAAGTTTCCATAAAAAATGATGTTGAAAGATCTGCTGACATTTCTGTTATATCGGATTGTATGGAAAGTAATGTTTGTGGTATATAGCCGCAGATCTGCCACATAAATGTGAAATATGTATGTTCAAATATATTTTTGTCTTGTAAAAAGTGCATGTTATCCTGCCATATCCAATCTTCAAGTTCTTTATTTAATTCCAATGGTGGTAATTTATTAGTATTTTTATGAATCAACGAAGAAGATTGCCGTCCGTTAGGACTAGAAACAGTAGCTTCTTCTTCCTTTGCTTGATCACCAGGATCAGCGCACCATTCATAAAATAGCATATATGCTGAATTTGTTTTTTCAAAACTGAAGTCCATAAATTTATCTGTAACGGAATCATAGGTTTTACTTGTCATTTCTCCACCAAAACACTCAGCCGCTATTTGATTTGGATCAAATGGTTTAACTTCTGCATCATTGAATAAAAACCATTTATCTTTATTAGGAGACGTACGATCTCTAATAAAACTATAGTAATGTCCACCATCAGCAGTACCAGTATGAACTGTTACGCCTATTAAATCATATTGATAATGCTCCATTTCTGTATCATCATTGCTTAATCCTGATTGACAATCACTTTCAGATTTTCTCTTTTCCGAAGCTTTTTTTTCTTCCTGATAATGTTGTGGCATCAGTTTTTTTTCAACATATCCAGACATATCTAATCTTAATGGAAAACTAAAATGTGTGTTTACTTTTTCTTTTGACATAGTTCCCATATTAAATGTATATCTCATTGTATTGAAACATAATATATGTGGTAACTTTTTAAAACATGCTCTCTTCTCTGCCCTTGCTTTTTTACCACATTGTGAACATGTGTACATATTATCTCCCTCCAAAGTATCTTTAACTGTAACTTCATCTAAACTTTCGTAAAGATTTCTCATATCTGCTACCTGACAACGTACAGTATAAAATTCTTCAAGAGTTCTACTTACATGTTCACAATCTAATGATACAACATTATTAGATATTACACCACAGAATAATGTTTTCACCAAATTTTTTAAATCTGATGTCATCTCTTCTAATTTAGATACAAGATCTATAAAAAATTCAGCCATGTCTTTTTGTTCTCCAGTATTTAAAGGCTCATGATTCATAGTATATACACGACAAAAGCTTCGAGGATTATACGCTTTCCTTTCTGATTCTAAAAGATAGGCAAACATTCTTTGTAGCTCCCTTAACGTGAGTTGATGTTTATTTGCTCTATTACAATCAGCTCCTAATATAGAGACACGTGCTTGTGGCATCATATATAGATGTTGCATACAACTAGCCATATAACAAGTGGCACCTAAGTTTGTTAGACCTACATATCCACAATCAGAACGTCCATCTTCATGCGGCCAATAATCCCAAGGATATGGAGAATGAGGGCCAGGCTTATGCTGAGCTAACAATTTTTCATGAAGAATTCTGTAATTATCAGGAGCAGATTTCACAAGTTCGACTAAAAGATCAAAAGCTGCTGATCTGGAAACCTGACTTTTACATTTTGGAACATGTTTCGATCGAGGATTAGGCAATGCAAATAGAAAATCAAACACTTCATGTAATAAATTCTGACCAATTTTTCCTTGTTTGCAAGGTGGATTATGTGTCATAATATTACAAGTAAGATTCAGTAATCCAACTAAACCATCATCTTCCACTGTATTATGACGCGTTTCAAGATGATCTCTATTTAAAACCGAATCAATTACTCTTATTGCTAGAGTTTCTAGATCTATCGTTAAATTGGAATCATCCGATCCTTCTTTGATAGCTTCTTCCGGAAGGGAATCAACTAATCTGCAAACAAGCCAAAAATAATCCCTGCAAGCAGGTCCATATGGTTCTTTTCCATCATCAAGCACGGGATGTAAATGCAACGGTAAATCTGGTTTTCGATGAGAAGGTTGCATCGCTTCGGCAATTATCAGATGTTCCAATAATGTATTTAACATTGAAACAATTAAACTGTGATTACTAGAATTTTCATCTTCAGATCCTGTAGTTCCCAGACATAATCTATATAAAGCTGTACAAACTTCTCTTCTTACTGCTGGTTCAGGATCTTCCAATACTAATCTTCTTAGCCAAGTTTTCCCAAATGGTTCTGACGATGAAAAAAGATACTGTTTCACTGTTTCATCACTATGTACCCAACAAACTAATAAAGCCATAGTATAATGTATAACTTGTGATCTTCCAAAAAGTCCTGTCTTGTAATGATTTGGATCTCTGGGTAAAGATGCTTCATTTAATATACTCGTTATTCGAGACATAACAGCTTCAACATTCATCATTGAAAGCATCACTTCGCTCAATTTAGGTACAAGCAGCTTGTCTGCTTTACTTCTTTTCTTTTCTTCTTTAACAACGCCCAAATAACATAGTTGTTTTAGTAAGCTAGCGAGACAGTCCTGCTGCCACTCACTACCATCACCTTGTTCCAAACATCCGGACATAAAAATATCAAATAAATGACGCAAACCTCCATGCTGAATGAACAATGTTGACCATGCAACGTCTTTCTCTCTGTCTTCATGATTATCGTCTGTATCGCCGTCACCTTCATTACCGGACGCACTAGATGTGCAATTCACAACAGAAGGTTGATTTGTTGTACTATGTCTACTTAATGATTCTACTATATATAAAGAATACATCAACTTTTGTGGACTAGCAGGATCTAATAGTTCCGGCAAAGTTGTTTCTCCTAATTTTTGAAATCCTCTCAATAAAGTTGGACTAGTTGGTAGTAATGTTAATGTATCCCAAACTCTTCTCGAAAGTACCTGGGCTTTCGTATGAGGAATTTCTTGTCCGCCTTTGACAACAGTTTTCATAGCACTTAAAGTTCTCATTAGTGTGAATAGTTGTTCAAAATACTGTGGACGTAATAATAATAACGTCGGCAAAGATTCTCGAGGAGGTGGAGGTAAAAGAGATGGTGAATCCACATCTCGTTTGTTACATCTGCCACTACCATTACCTCGACCAGCGCCGGGAGAAATGAATACTAATTGACCATCTTTGAACCCCATTTCTTGCAATGTTTTTTCATCAAAATCAATAGTTAATTCCTGGCCTTGTGTAATCATTCTAATTGGCCCATCAGTAAGTAAAGAACCTAACACTGAACCATTGCTTTGATTCGAATTAGTGGATGTCGATTTCTCTTGATTATTTTGCGTATCATCCCACCACTTGGCAACTTCGGCTCTCAGATCAGCTACATAATCAGTGCTAAGAAGAGTAAAACTTGTTTTTTCAGGGATTCCTGCAGGTTGCACAAGTATTCTTAGCTGTTGGCCTTTCTCCGAGGTATTCATAGCGACATGACTACCAGCACCTCTACCTTCCAGTATCCAGCGACGTAAATGATATGCGTACCGTTTTCGGAACGCTTCTAAATGTGTCCTTAACAGTAACAAAGCTCTTTGTATACAACGTAAACTAGCTTCTTCATTCGTTTCCAAATCAGCACTAGCTGCAGCAAGATGGGTCATACATTGTGAAACAAATTCTGCTTCTTGAGTTAATTGTCTAGACATGTAATATCCGTTTAGATATTGTATAGCCGCCATACTAACATCTGTACTTTTAGCTTTTAATGCAATTCTCCATAAGAAATCCATACCAACTGAATCTACGTCTCTTAAGGGTCTATCTAAGTGTGCGGCAGCTAAACGGGCTAAGTTACACAATTGTTGGAAAAGACTAAGGCCTGTCATACTGATAGTTTCAGGTGGTAAACTTGGTAATTTACGCATACACAAATGTTTAAGTGTATCCATTCCAAGTGCATGTTGTTCCGTTGATTTTGCTTGACTAAGCAACCAACTAAACAGTTCATCAGCGCATGTTGTATCTTGTGACAAACATTGCCATAATATGTCCACCTGTTCGAGACTTAAACGGAAACAATCAGGTGAACCTAAAGGTGAAAAAATAGAAGATAAAAATTGTAGTCTAACTTGTATTTCCGTTTGATGGGAATACAAGCTATTTTTTGGCCCTATGCTAGTATACGTTTTTAAATTATTAAAGAAGTGTCTCATCATTCCACGTTCACGATCAGCCCATGTTGTTATTGTATGTGCATCCATCGCACCAAATTGCTGAAAACTGGCAAGTAATTTAGGTAATAATCTTAAAGATACTACCACAGAACGATTGGTTGCAAGATTTTCTAGGCAACCTTCTATGAATTTCATAGGTATTAATCGATCAACATTGAAGCAAAGAAGATTGCACAAAGCTTTTTCAGCTTCCAAAGCTAAACCTTCTCCTAATTGCCCGATTTTATCATCTTGCAAAAGATCCCATAATAATGTATTTCCTGGTTTACATACAGTGTCTAAGTTAAACTGAGAATTAACACGTGTTACTGTTTGGCGGATACTTCTCACTTGTGGAGGACGACAAACAGATCGTCTAATCGTCATTGTTGGATGAGAATGATGAGGATGATAAGCTTGCATTTGTATAGCTGTTAAATGACGCGCAGCTAATTGAGCTAATTCCTCTTCGCATCCGCTTTCTTCTCCATCAAAATCTGCCATATTTTTTTCACTTTTATTAGATATTCTGCTACTATAGGATCCTTCTTCATCCGAAAGCATTTCATCTAATCCTGAAGGTAAAAACGTGGGACCTGTTGCATGTACTAAACCAGCAAGTTCTGATATAACAGCACCAGGTCCATCTGCTGCTGCAAGAACACCAGCTACATCACTATCATCTTCATCATGTGAAGTATCTGCGGAGTCAGGAGCTCGATCTACATTGTGACCTACTAATGACATATATTTATTTTTGTTAGCTCTTCTCAAGAGTGCCGCCGTTGTTGGAACTTGTTGATCATTTGGATCTAAAGCCATTGCTTGTTGTTTTACACGATCCAATGCATCAACACCTTTCGGATCATCCATAGAAACTAATCCACCAGTATCCAAAGTACTGTTTAAAACATCCTCTGGTCTATATTTTATATCTAACATTAAATCTTTAGTTTTCATATTATTTTCTTCATTCACGATGCCTTCTAATGCCTTATCTGCAGTAACTAATGAACGTTTCTGAGGTTTTTTCCGTTTTCTTAACACTTTTCTCTTTCTTTTTTCTATTGCAATTGTTTCTTCGGTATTAGATTTCTCAGTATCAGCTTCTGCATCTGATCCACTCTGTTTTTCTTTTAAATCATCTTGTATACTACATGCAGAATCTTTTGTTGATTCAGCAAAACATTCAGATTTTTCTATTGCAGGATCTTCTCCTTCATTCGAACTTGTTTGTACAACTGTTGTACCCACATTTTTTGCTTTAAATGGACCTTAAATATTTATGTTTTAAATCATTTATATATGTGTATGTATAAAATGATTTAAATGATTATATATATATATATATATATATATATA